GCAAGATCCTTTTTTAGATTCCTGAATTTGACTCGAAGTTGCTGATATCTTTCCAGAGTTTCACTCAGACTTTCTCCTAGTTCAACTTTAGTGAAATTAACAGTGAAGTCAGGGAATACCTCTTCAGTGTCTGATTCTGATTCTGACCCTGATTCCGATTCAGAAGATTCAGAGACATCTGATAAGTTGTCGGTTTGAGCTATATTGGCTTGTCCATCTTCTGATTCTGTTCCGTCTTCAGAGGATTCAGAATCATCCCATGTTGCCATAATACTTTTCTTCTTTTCCTTAACGAACTCCCCTTTATGTTTCTCCTTCTGAAGCCTTGGACACTCACTTTTGTAGTGACCTTGTTTATTGCATTCATAGCAGGTAATGATCCTGTTACATGATATTCTGTGTCCAGAGGATTGTTCAGAGTCATTTCCTGTTCTTCTGGAGTTTCTGAAATTCTTCTGCTTGTGCTTCGACAACTGATTGATCCTTCTGGAGAGCAAGGATAGTTCATCTTCTTCTGAAGCAGATTCTTCAGAGTTTTCTTCTTTACCCTGAAAAGCTTTAGTTTCATATTTTATAATTGATTTAAGGGCAATATAATCACCTTTCTCTTGAGGCTCGTGCTCATCAAGTTCTATATCATGATTTTTGAGAGCACTGATGAGTTCTTCAAGAGACACGTTGTTCAGATCTTTTGAAACTTTGAAAGTAGTGACCATAGGTGCCCATCTTTTGGGTAAACTTCTGATGATCTTCTTAACGTGATCTGCCTTAGAATATCCCTTGTTCAGAACTCTCAAGCCAGTAATCAGAGTTTGGAACCTTGAGAACATATCTTCAATAGATTCACTTTCTTTCATCTTGAAGGCTTCATACTTCTGGACGAGAGCCAGAGCTTTAGACTCCTTCACTTGAGCATTTCCTTCATGAGTCATTTTAAGAGACTCAAACATATCATGTGTTGTATCTCTATTTGTGATCTTTTCATATTCCATTTTGGAGATAGCATTTAGAAAAATATTTTTAGCTCTATGGTGATTTTTGAAATCAACTTTTTGTTGTCTATCCATATTTTTTCTATCAATCTTATTTCCTTCTGAGTCTGTAGGATGTGTGTAACCATCAAAGACTATATCCTATAAATCACTATCATGACCTAGAAAGAAACTTTCTAGTCTATCTTTCCAATAATCAAAATCTTCTCCATCAAACACTGGAGGTCTGGTGTAGTTATTGTTGTTTTGTTCATTTGCCATTGTGTTTTCTTCTGGATCTTTTCCCGACACGGTTAAGTGTTGAACTCAGAGTCAAGCTCTGATACCAATTGAAGGTGGATAAAACACTTAGAAGGGGGGGGGGGGGAGGGTTGAATAAGTTTTTCTTTTTCTTTTTCTTAACGACACAACAATAATGGAAATACAAAGTTATTTTTATCCTGGTTCGTTTGAACTCAAACTACTCCAGTCCACCCGCCAAGGTGATTTCGCCTTTCTTAACAAGGACTTAATCCACTATAATCAACTGATTACAATCACACAACAACTATTGTAACTAACAATGCATAAGTAATCTTACAAGTGACTCACACCACTAAGACTTAAACTAGTCCTAGTCTACTTGAGAAAACTGACCAAACTTGGCCTCTCAAGGAACAATTACAAGAGATAAATCTTTACAGATAATGAAACAAAGTTTGCTTCTAAGAAAGCTATATCACAACTGTGATTTTTCACTAAGAATAGTATAGCACAAAGTGTATGAAACTTGTTTGTGAGCCCATAATATTTTCACGTAGCTTTTGCTTCTTTTTGAATTTGTTCAGATCTATTCAGAACTTCAGTTGTCCAGCCTTTCAGTTGAGCAGTGGTTCGGTAGTTGGCTTGCAATTAATGTTCTTCTATATATAGCATGAAGAAACATGACCGTTGCTGCCTTCAAATGGAGAGCATTAAATGTTTGCGTGTTTCCTTGCACTATTCCATTTTCCAATGCACTAGCGTAGACACTTGAGTGCATGTAGCCGTCTTTGCATTAAATGAGAAAACGACACTTGTAAGAGCATGCCTCCTGATCCTTGACAAGAATTGTTAGCTTTTATATTCATTCAGAACTTGGCTTCACGTCTTGATTCAGAACATGCTTGCATATCTTCTAAACAACGCTTGCTTGCTAAGTACTTCTGATCAGCGCTTGTTTTCAAAGAACTTTTGAGCAGCACTTGCTTTCAAAGAACTTCTGAAACATAGCTTACACAGAAACTTGCTAAGCGTTAGAAGATGCAGTTAAATAATTATATTACCAGAGTCAGCATCAGCATCAACATCAACATCATCACTTCAAGATGCTTCAGTCAGAATATTATCAGAGACAACATCAGCACTTGCGCTAAAACAAATAGTTCTTTCATCAAAGAACTTCTTCATTTATTTCCAGCTCAGCACATCAAGATGCTTCTGTCAGAACATTATCTGAACAATTAAATACGTTCATCAGAGTATCAAATATATAAAATATAATTTATTGTTATCATCAAAACTGAGATATGATTAGAATCAATCTTGTTCTAACAGAAGCAAGGTATGATGCTACATCAAAGAAAGTATGTCAAAGAGATACTCAAGAGATTCAGAATGGATGATTCGAATCCTGCATCCTCACTTATCAAACCAAATGTGAATTTGGAGAAGAATGGAGAGGAAGGCAAAGTCAATGCAACTTTTTTCAAGCAAATTGTAGGATCTCTGAGGTATGTGTGCAACAGTCGACCTGATATAGGTTTCACAGTCGGATTAGTAATTAGATCTATGGGTGAACCAAGAGTGTCACATATGAAGGCTGCAAGAAGAATTTTGAGATATTTAAAGGGTTCAATAAATTGTGGAATACTATTTCGACGAGATTCCAAAGTCAAAGAAGTAATAGTTAATTGTTTTTCATATGCTGATTGGTGTGGATATAAGGAAGATCGAAGAAGCACAACTGGATATTTCTTTCAAGTATTTGGTGCCCCAATCTCATGGTGTTTGAAGAAGAAACCTGTGGTGGCATTATCATCATGTGAAGCTGAATATATAGTAGGATCATATGCTGCATGTCAAGCAATTTGGACCAAATTTGTACTTGAAGAAATGACTGTCGAAGTGAAGAAACCTCTAGTATTGCAAATCGACAACAAGTCAGCCATAAATTTGGCGAAGAATCTAATTCTGCATGGAAGAAGTAAACATATTGAAGCAAGGTTTCACTTCTTGAGGAAAAAAGTAAATCAAAGTGAACTTGAAATTAGATATTGCTCAAGTGAAGCACAATTGACTGACATTTTCACCAAAGGATTATAGATCGACATATTCCTGAATTTGAGAAAGAAATTAGGAATAGTTCAGATTGATTATTTTTGAGGATGTTCGACAACTTTGATTATGGGGGTGTGTTGAAATATTAAATTAGATTTATAATTAAAATATTAGATTAGATTAGATTTGATTAGATTTAATATTTAAATATAATCCAAGTTGTGTTAGTCCAAACTCAATTAGGGTTGTATATAAATAGTCATATTGTGTATCATTATTTGTACAATTCAATAATATAAATTCTTATTTCCTTTATTATTATCTCTTTCTCTCTTCACTAAAAGTGCCTCACACACTAACACAAGGAACTTGCTTAATTAACTTTTCTTTAACCTCGACAATATTGTATTAATTAATGTGTTATTACCATTTTACCTCTATCATATAGATCATTTCTAGTTTATCTCCTGTAAATTTATTTTCAAAAACAATCTTGCTATTTCAAAATACTAACAATTTAGTCCATAAAGTTAAAATCTCCAGATTTCTTACAAATTCTCTTTCGAATTTATCTATGGATTTTAACTTTAGAGACTAAATTATTAATTTTTTGAAATGACAAGGTTGTTTTTGAAGAAAAAAAACTTATAAAATGGAAAAATAAAAATTATCTATATGACATGAGATAAATTAGTAATAACCCTTAATTAATTTAGTCGGATATTATTAATTTTATTACAAGGAATAAGATATCGAATGAATAACTCCTTTTTGTTGATTAAAACTTTTGGTCATAACCTTACGATATAAATTACTATGACAGAACAACTTTTGTAATGGTAAATTAATATAAATTATTTTTATTGCACAAATCTACTACAAAAGAAACAATAAACAAATGTTTTCTATAGTGAGGTTTTCGAAAATTTATAAATATGATGAGAGTATCAAAATCGTGTAGTGTTATTTGATTGAAGATTGGATTTCATGTTATTAATTCTCTAATTTTTAATATTTAAATTTGTTAATTTAATTTGAACTGTGTCTGAGAAATATCTATGGATTATTCATTTGAAAATCATAAATAATTATAAAATATTTTTTGATTTTAAATTTTTTTATTTGTGCTACGCACGTATATTCGTATTAGTTCTAAGATAAACATCAATCTAATTTTCAACCAATATTTTTTGTTTTTTGTAACTTCAAGTATTGAAGCATATCAATATGTAAAATAGTTATTTTGCATTTAGAATTTTATTTTTAAAAGGAATTTTACAATATTTTTTCCACTTTTATGTCCTTTTATAAAATTTTACTATTTTCTTACTATCAATATTCGGTTTATTGAACATCTAATTTGATTAAGAAGTCAGTTCTAATATCAAGTGATTTCAATCTCTTTTAATTACAATTGTGAAAATTAAATTGTGATTCTCTCTATTAAATCCAACATCAATCATTATTAAATTATCGGTAAGTTCTATTATTTTTAATTTGTAATTAAATGTGACATTTATCTTTTTCTAAACAAATAAAATGACTTTATTGTAAAATCATAATAATCATCTTTGGTTGTATATCAAATATAACAACTACTCTATGGAAGATCCAGTTAGCCACCATTATGATATTTTATCTCTTTGTTAAACTTTATTACTAAGTTCATGAATTTCCTCCATCTTTTCAAAACAAATCTCATGATATTATTCAGCTAGATATATTTGATGTGTGGTTTGATTCAACATTCTCTACTACAGCCCATTTGTTAACACGATTTCGAGCAATCTCAACCTACAAAATTCACATGCAACTTTTAGCTTCTTCACTTAAAAAAATGAACATCAAATTTCATACTCATAGAACCAAAGTAAATAAGTACCTGGTTGTCCCAATCAGTTTTATATGTGATTGTGATAAGTATTATTGTTTGAACAAGAATTCCAAACAACATTCCAATCCAAACACCCTGCAAAAATAAACTACATTAAACACTAGTCTCTCTTTGAATCATAGAAACTTATTGAAATAATATTTCACTCTTCATATTTGTGCAAAGATAAATGAATTACCTTAACTTGCAAATGAAGAATATTACCAAGTAGCAATCCAATAGGAATACCAATAAGGTAATAGCTGCCTATGTTAACATATGCTACAACTTTTTGCCATCCAGCTCCAACAGAAACTCCTATATATTCACAACATTATTACTTCAATTTGGATTTTTTTTGTCTTAATATGAATCGTGTGATATATAATAAACATGCGAGATTGCGTGTAAGAATACGTGAGATGATGTTAAATATTTACCAGACAGGACAGGTTGGACACTATTCATCAATATGGAGAATGAGAGCAAAGGTGATAGATCGCCAACTGCTTTAGCTACATCAGGATTTGGTGTGAAAATGTAAGCAAGTTTTTCCTTTAAGAATAGAAAGATCACGAATAGTACAAATCCAATGGAAAATGATGTGAGCACTGTTATCACAATGGAAAACTTTGCTGCCTTTGAACTTCCTCTTCCAAGTTCATTTGACACCCTAACACTGCAAAATAGAAAATAAAACATCATTCTATTGCTTTTCTATATCTATTACGTCATCTTAATCCTCTATGATCTCTACCACGAACATAACCTCTACCAGAGTTAGACATCTTGAGGACCTTCTCCTTATCTCCCTCCAAATATTTCTTCACCTTTAAATCTTTGAGCTTGCTCTCAGCAGCAAGTTTCACTTTCTCTGGTGTGGGATTTGCAAGGGCCACCCGAACACCATTTTCAATTAAACTCCTATTCTACTTCGATCGCAACAAGTTCTCCATTAGCTCTTCCCAATGATAATAAAAACTACCAAACTAACCACCAAACTTTGAAATTGATGATGGTGCATAGTTCGAATTTGTTTCCATTGCAACAAAGCGAAAAGAAAGAAAATGAACCTTGATGAGTTCTTGATAAATACTAACTAACACAGTTGCATTTATGATCAAATAAGTATCCAGGATGGGATTTAGATACCAATTATGTGGTATAATGATCAATCACAATTATTAGGATTATGCATAGATGTAGTTAATATAAGTTGTCATAGCAAGTTTGACAACTTATAGTTAGCTTGCAACGCAAGAAAGTAGTTACTTCAGAAACAAGTAACTAACTAACTACTCTAATTCTAACAAGACTTGAGATCTAAGAATGTGTTTTTTTCAAAGTCTTATGTTCAACTTTCGCACGTGCCAGTAATTTATGTGTTAGGTCAGTCCATACAGAGGTTTGTCTTGACTTCAATTGAGCCTCTTTAGTGGACGTGGGATTGGTCTCCCGAATAAGTTGGTCTTAGTGCCGAATACCGATTTGTTTAAAAAATTACTATATTTTATTTTATAACAGAGACATATTTTGAAGAAATATGAGATTGTGATAACATTTAAGTACCTAGCTGCAGCAAAGAAGCCAAGAGCTATCATCATTTCCCACCCAGTGATGTTGAGGCTGCAAAAAATGACAATTTGATTATATTAACAGATTAATTTCAGTATGAAGAAGCAGGTGGAAGATGACCCTTAATGCTAAATTTTGAAGCAAAAAAAAAAGCAAGAATGAGAACAAGAGATATAGTACCATATGGCCAAAGCATCAATGGAAATCTCAGCATTTTCCATGTTCCCTGTTAGAAGAATCAAAACTGTGTTGTACCATATTTCAAGACTGTAAAAAAAAACATAGCATTATGTCAGTCATATGAATCTTTTACTGCAACAATATTTTCTCAAACTCTTACCATAACATAACTCCAGAAGACAAAGAAAGCTTGATAACAGGCCAAAGATCTTTGAAGGCCAAAAATGAGAAACCCTTCCATGTATCAGGACACTTTCTCATGATAAAAACAAGCTGACCCAAATTAGGTATCCAATGTGCCAAAATGATTGATGTCATTGCACCATTAAGTCCAAATTTGAACTTAACAGTTAAAAGCCATGACATAAAAACATGAATTGAAATCGAAACGGCCGCAAGGTAAGCAATAATCTTGTTCTTGCTTTGTGCTTGTAGAAACATTTGGCAAGTGAATGACACAGAGAAAGCAAATATGATACCTATTGACCATAAAGAAATGCTTCCAGCAACTTGTGCAATGTTTTTATCTTGACCAAGTGCCTCTAAAATTGGAGTGGTGAATATGTAAATAGGAAGAAGAAGAATTGTGGTCAAGAATAAAACTATCCATGATCTTTGAAGATACACTCCAAGCATATCATATTGTCTTGCACCATATGCTTGTCCACATAGAGTTTCCAATGCACTTGCCATACCCAACTACAATTTTCATTTTGAAAAGAAAATTAAAAAAATACAAGATTTTAGTAGATACATGCAAAATATAACAACATAAGACTTATTAGTTGAAACAAGGTTTTATAAAGTTGTCCCGACCACGATACATATACTGTCACATCGTGGTTCAGACAATTGCGATTTAGGTCGTTTCAGTGATATTTGATCACGATTCTTTGCAATATCAACCATAATTTATCTGCGATTCCACGACACCATGGTATTTAAAAGATTGAGGAGTATTTGACTTACCAAAACACCATTTGCAAATCTGATTAGAACAGTCATAACAAGAGAATAAGCAGCTAATTCAGTGGAACCTATGTAACCAATGAAGGATTGACTAACTACAGTGATTCCAAATGTTGAAAATCTATTGAATATGGCAGGACCTGCTACTACCCACATCTTCTTGCTTTCTTGCCATACTCTTTTGCTTAATGGCTCTTCCTCCTCTTCTGATGTGTTTTGATGCTGCAAAAGGTTCTTCTTTATCTCTTCTTCCATTTTCACTCCTTCTACTATAGAGCTGCAAATAGCTTAAAACATTTTCATTGCATTTGCACTATGTCATTTAAACACTCATTGATATAAAAAGAAAGAAAAACAAAAGTAAGGTCCAGCATTAAGGCTTAACATAATGTGTTTGATTTTCTATCTTACAAATTTCAATATATATATATAATTACTTTTGCACGCAGTTTTAATCCCTTTAGAGGGACTAAAACTGTATGCAAAAATAATTTTATACGGACTAAAACTCGACTTTTTTATAGAGACTAATGTAAGTGGGAAAATGGTTTTAGGTGGATAAGTGGTGTGTCTCTCACATGTACTTATTTCTACACTATATATCTATGTTCCTAATAACTCCCCTTAACAATATCAGAGAATAGTTACATCAAATTAAGAGAATATTTTCCAACAACTATTTTAAAAACAAAACTATTCAATACTATATTTAACATCAGTTTTGTTTTTATATGTGTATATCATATCTTATCAAATTAGAAAACGGCAAGACGGTAACATTTTGTTTGTATATTTTTGTCGGAGACACACGGTGTTCTCCATAATAATGCATAAGTAGACAAACTATACATGATGAATGAACCTTCATTCTCCATTTTTCTATCGTTTATCTTTTCACATGATTCCACTATTGATTTGTACGAGAATGTGACATGTATTTTTTCTAAAGGAATAAGTTGACTTTATGGTAGCATTTTGTAATTATCTTATGTCAATTTTAACAACTATCCTTGGCAGGACCATAGGATATGGCCAGTTGGCTACCATTAACTAGTGAAAATGATGATATAATAGTTTCTTGAATTTAATTGATATTGTGGAGTGTGCTTTACTCAGATTCTGCCTAGTCTACGAGCCTTGAGAGCTCTGTTATGTTTAAGATGTTTTCTATCATTTTTTGAAAGATAGTGAGGGGTAATTTATAGAGAGAAACTTAAAGACACAAAGAAGTAATTATTAGAATTTTCCATTTTAAGAATTTGAGAGATTTTCAGTTGTAATATAAGGATGGGAAATGAAGATGCAAGAAATCTTGATTGAAGAATTCATTCATTTATGGTAAGAAAAACATTATCAACTTTACAAGTCTGATATAAGTAGAGAAGACTGAGATGGTGGATAAGATCAGAAGTGACGTTATCTTGTGTGTTAAAGATAAAGTACTAAGAGAAGTCACAATGGAGGAACATTGCAAAAATATCGGCCAGACTTGAATTATTATATATGATCAAATCTTTGACTCATTGGTTATGTCTGAAACAACAACTCTACTTATTTTGGATGTTCGAGAACAAAACTATTGGTGATCAATTAACAAAATTTCGTAAAATTATTTACGACTTGAAAATTATTAAAGTGAAACTTGATGATGAGACTTCCCTCTTATTGAGTCCATTATCTAGACCCTTTGACCACTTAAAAATTCATTTATTTATGATAAGGAAGACATTATCGATTGAAGGAGGTCTAACTGATTATAAGAACCAAGAAATTAACTATGACAGAGGAGTTGGTGATAGTTAAAAAGACTTCAGTGTTGTAAGGGGTATGAGTAATAATAGGGAAACCAAATGGGAAAGAAATCTAAGTCGATGTCCAAGTCCAAAGGATTTGACAAGTCGAAGTACAAATATTTTATTTGTCATAAAATTTGTCTCTATAAGTAGGGTTGTCTTGAGAAGGGAAGCAAAGGTGATTCTAATCAAATTTTGATTGTCTTTTATAAGGACAACTATGAGAGTGTTGGTGCATTTGAGATAATGGATTTAGAGACAGAAAAGACTTGGGCCATTACTCAGAATACTCTTATCACATGTGTACAAAGAAGGAATATTTTGAGATTTTAGAATTAACAAATTGTGAAGTTGTTTAATTTGATAATAATAAGGCCTGAAATATTCATGGTATTTGTGTGGTTCCACTACGCCAAATAAGCTATTTAATAGCGTTTTTTTTTGTTTTTGATAGCGCTTAAAAGTGCTATTAACCGCGCCACTATTGTAAATATTTCTTATTTAATAGCACTTTAAAAGCGCTATTAAAGTACCAATTTATAATAGCGTTTTAATTAAAGTGCTATCAAAGTCAGTATTTTGCATGTTTTTTGTTTGTTTTTTTATAGCACTTTAAACAAAAAGCGCTAATATATAACATATGTTTGATAGCGCTTTCAAATAAAGTGCTAATAAATGGTACATATTTGGTACAATATTTTTAATAAGTACAGTACAATATTTTTTCTTACACAATCATTTTTTTTGGTGTAAATATAAAATAACTATATTCAATTCAACACAAATAACGCTTTAAGTTACTCATTGCATATATATTATGATCCATCAAATACCAAATAACATTTTAAATTACCAAATTCTAATATTGTATTCCAAATATCATAACATATAGAATATTAAGAGGGCGTTTGCATAGCCAAATTTGTAGATGCCCATCTATGAGTACTTCAATCCAAATCCAAAAACATACAATCAAATTCTCTAAACAAAACACCAAAAAAATAAGAAAGGATAACAAAACAATCCCATGTAGTAACCACCTTCATGATCCAAAAGCGTTGAACTCATAGATACAATCACTAATTAGGCAAAATAATTGCTTCTTGTTTTCCTGTATCATAGAAGGAATATTGATTATGTATTGTACAATAAAAACTAATTCAACATATAAAGAATAATCAAACATTTAATATGGGTCTAACAAGAAGCGCATAAAATAAGGAATGATTATTATAAACTAATAACAATAAATCGATATAACTAATGCAATAATTGAACTAATTAAGTCTAACAAGAACATGACTTGTAAATATATAGACCACAATTTCCATTATTAGATGCATATAAACACTAAACAGAATATAATTCAAATTCTCAAAATATACATAAACACTTAATTGTGTGTAACTTTCTTTTCATGATCCAGAACTAGATATCAAACACCTTACAATTGTTACTACGAATATCTAAAAATTTCAAGTAGAAACGGAAAACTATAAATCAATCATACAATAAGATATAAGTCATTTTTCGTATTTTCCTATTTCAAAATTTAAATTCGAGACCAAGAAAGAACACTCAGTACCTCTGTGTCATATCTTCTAAACCAATAAAATACTAAAATCATTTATACGACAACTCTAAATCCAACTTAAAAATTAAAATTAAACATCTAAGTCAAAACATTTGAACTCTAAATCCATGAGTAATATTTGTCTTGTTTATCAAGTATCAAGTCAAGGAAAAACTCACCGAAAACATCATCCACCACATAAGTAGCCCAATCCTCCTTAACCTCAGTTAACTTATCATGAGAGTAGGTACGACATTTGTGGTCAAAAAAGTACTTCAAATATGAAAACATCAACAATTAATCGTGTTAGAATTAAATTATATTAATTTAATTTACAAAAGAATAATAATAATAATTAAAATCACGTACATTTGTGGGGATCATAAATTCATTTTCCATGATGACCTCTTTCATAAATCGCATTACAAAGTATCCACAATCAACGCCATTAATTTGACGAGGACACTACAAAAAAAAAATTTATATCGATTAATTTTACTCCACATAATTGTTTTAAAATAACATTAATTTAGACACATACCTTTATTTTTTGCCATGAGATTTTCTTTGACTTTGACACTTTAGGCACTTTAGAACTACTATTAGCACGATAAATTTGCAAAGCGCTAACAAAATGAAATTAACTTCAAATGAGTAATTATATAAATAATAATACGTACATAAATTTTAAATTAAAAGAGTCTATACTCACTTCTCAAACTTTGTTTTAAAATTTTGATGTTTTGTTGGCTCACCATTCAACGGATCCATGTAATATATCACCTCAGCATTGAGATTGATGACAAGCAACACCCAATGTTTCCTGCACCCAACATTTAAATATTGCATTAAAGATTCACATTCATTAGAGTTTTTTCTCGTTAATTTAATAACTTTTTGAATATAAATCTCACCCTAGATTACAAGGTGCAAGAATCATCTTATCCTTGAACTCCTCATCTTTCAAAAGTATTTTTGCTATACCATTTCCTAGATTATCCTCCCGTGATACATGTGGAGATATGAAAGAGAACTTATTTATTAATCCATTTGGACTAATAAACTTGTCATACAAATACCTAGAAATGAACAACAATTGATATTAATATATTTGTCACCAAAGTGAATATTAGTCAACAATACAAATAACATTAATATTAATAATATATTTGTCAAATAAGAGAATATTTGTAATAATAGAGGTACCTGGAAAATACAATGATAATAGATGCACTTAACCAATTGTGATCAAGAATCTCCTTTATACTCTCTACACGTAGTTGCTCTAAAAACTCCTCACCAAATATACTTTCCTCCATTTTTATTTGAATTAATGATCCAACCCTCATCATCTTTTTCACATACATATCAAGGAAAGGTAAATTTGCAATACCAGCTGAACCGCCAACTCTAGGAGACTCTTCGATTTTGAATTTTTTGTTACTTTTGTTGGGTGATGAAACTGAATATTCAACACTGTGTTGAATATTGTTACCTTTGTTTTGGGATTGACCAGGAATCTAAAAAGTTGTATTAATTAATATTAGTGATCAAATAATAAAACAAGTAGCGATCAAACAACTTGATTATAAGTAATTTACCTTTTCACATTCAGCAACAAATTCAAGAAGTTTCGTTGGCCATGGCACAATTGTTCCTATTGCTTGACCAACCATGGATACATCTCCATCTTCAACAGATATAGGCAATGGGGCATTTGGCACAATAGCAACTTCGATATTAACCTTGACATATCCAGGTGGTAACGTCATGCCATGTACCGTGTTACCTTTGGTGTTATATAGTTTTCCACGAGCAACCAAACAACGACTCGGGGAGGATAAATATATATTAACAGGAAAGAGACCCTAAACCAATAAGATATGAATAAAAAGATTAACATCATTATTGAAAGAACAAACAAATCGAATTTGAGAGATAATAAAGAAACCAATTACCTCGGGAATGTTGCCAAATGATACAGGGTTGCAAGAACCTTTATCACTAGGTAGTCGACTCTCAGCTACTTTTTCTGGTTGTTTCCTTTCTACCACTTGTTCAAGGTGTTGCCTCTGTGCCACTTTTTCAGGTTGTTGCAAGCTCTCTGACACTTGTTTAGGTTGTTGCCTTTCTTCCACTTCTTCAGTTTGTTGCCTCTCTAGCTTCTCTCTATCCAACTTATCTCTCTCAATCTTTTCTCTCTCTAGCACCTCCAATCTACTTTTGAGTGAATTACAAAAGCCATACAATTTTTCAAAATCCATTTGTGTGGGGCGATTTTGGCGTGGTAATATGTCCCTAGAACATACCCCAAAACCATAAGTCCTAACACGTCCAGAGTAGTTTGGGAGATTAAGAGCCTCAAATAATATGTTTGTGGGACCAAGGTGTTGTCTCTCTTCTTCAGATAGAGCTTCTGTTAACTTCTCCTGACATTGATAAGTATAAAAGAAATAACCAATAGTTAGATACAAGTTGCAATTAATGACTATTCTATCAAAATAAGACACAAAGACTCAATTAATTAAGGAAAATCGAGTTTAATGACTTCAAATTAACTAACAAAATACAAATTCGGTAACAATGATGAGTATAGAAAAAGTGTCACATCTATAATGTGAGCATTTTGGAAATAACATCTATAGTGTCACATCTAAAATTCGACTTACACATTGATCCACAACTCTTTGAACATTCTCATTATCAATCACCCCGCTCTTATTGACGCGGGCAGCCTTCCACACTTGACTACGGTTTATCTCACCAACTTCTGACTCTTCTACCTGTATATACATTTTTACAAATTAACATAGCAATTAAATTTTTTTATAATATTGTATAGTACATTTATACACATACTTACCATATCAGCTTCAAGACGAGCACACCCTAAACGTGACTTTCTATAGGGATGTTGAGGATTTAACGCTCTTTCTCGATTCTCATCACTAACTTTCTGCATTTATTATAAAAAATGCATCCCACAACACTATCACTAATACTATAATCATGCAAAACTTTAAGGATCCATATCCAAGTGATAAAAGTATTACCTGAAACTTTGCAGTCATATGTTGGGCTACAAATTTATCCCAATCATCTTGTTTTATACAAAAAGAATATTTGGCCGGACGATGTTTAACAAAACCACCCTTACTATCTTTTAGATATGACCTCGCCATTTTTGTTCTGAATGCCCTGTGCAACTTTCCAGCTTCTCTATATACAAAGGCACGATGTTCCTCGCCAATTATAAAAGCTTTCTGCAAATAATTCAGTTTATTAAAACATAGTTCAGTTTATTTAAACATCCCAATGGATAGATTAACGAAATTAAAATTTTACAACTAGCTTAAGTTAGTGTGTTACTTCAATTTCATCCCAAATGTTTTGTTTATAAACCCCCACAGCCTCTTTATTTTTTTTCGCGCTCCAATTGTCCAAGCTTATTGGAACTAACCGACGAACTGTGACACCAATGAAACTAGCAAAAGTCTTGCTATTATGCTTGATTGGTTGACCTCTGGAATTCCATTGAACCTATAACAAAATTAAAGTGCAAATAAAGAATCAACAGTCTCACTAATAGTGTTTAACATTCAAATAGTTTCAAACAACTAACTCATAAAAGATAATCATGTATGTAACCATCACTCATACATAGTTCAGTAAAAAGAAAATTGCCCGTCAAAGCCAAAGGAGCTCTATTTTCTTCTGATTCACCGTTAAAAGCTTTTCTCCATTTTCGAAAATGATGGTTGGTATTTAAAAATCTACGGTGTCCAAGAAATACATTCTTCATACAATACTCCAATCGTATTGAATGTGTACCATCTTCACATATGGGGCATGCAAATTTTCCTTTGACACTGTAGCCTGATAGATTCCCATAGGCAGGAAAATCATTGATTGTTCCAAATAACATAGCCCTCAAGTTGAAGGATTCTTTTTTATACTCATCATATACCTCCACACCTGTCTCCCACATATGCTTTAAATCTTCAATTAATGGAGCCAAGTATACATCTATATCATTTCCTGGTTGCTTGGGCCCAGAAATTAACATACTCAACATCGTGTATTTGCGCTTCATACATAGCCATGGAGGTAGGTTATAAATCAACAAAATGACTGGCCAAGAAGTAAGTTTACTACTTTGAATACCATGAGGATTTATTCCGTCAGTAGACAATGCAAGACGTAGGTTTCTTTCTTCCTTCCCAAAATTTGGGTAATCATGATCAATTTTTGCCCATTGAGGAGAATCTGCGGGATGTCGGAGCATTCCATCAACAACCCTTTCATTTGCATGCCATGTTAAGTTCTTTGCGTCTTCTGCATTATGATACATGCGCCTAAATCTTGGTATTATCGGAAAATACCATAGCGTTTTGGCTGGAGCTGTTTCTTTCTTCTTATAGCGTGGGGCACTACATTTAGGACACATATTCAACGATGCATACTCCTTGCGAAATAAAATGCAATCATTTGGACAAGCATGTATCTTCTCGTAACTCATGCCAATAGAACATAACAATTGTTTAGACTCATACGTTCGACTAGGGAGCACGTTGTTCTCAGGCAAAATATCCTTTAACAGAGTTAACAAGTCTGTGAAGCTCCTATCGGACCATCCATGGCGTGCTTTTAAGTTATACAACTTTAAGACCGTTGACAGTCTTGTGAATTTAGTACATCCATCATACAACGGAGTCTCTGCATCACTTACTATCCGCTCAAACATTTGAGGACAATCACGAAGATCTTCCTCAATTACATTGACAAATTCTTCAACTCGATCAAACGCATAATTCGTATCTTTTTCAAAATCATTTGATGAATCTCTCCCATCGCTCCTTTTTGTGGACTTGGTTTTTTTTTCCCCGTGCATTATCCAGCATGTGTAGCTTTTATCAATTCCATTACATATTAAGTGATCTTCCAAAACATTTGCACTAACATCCGTATAACAACATTCTAAGCAAGGGCATATGATTTTACTAGTGTCTTCAGCATGAGCAATAGCAAACCTAACGAACTCACGAACTCCATCTTCATATTCTTTTGACGCTCGATTGGCAAACATCCATTTTCGATCCATATTTCCTAACAAGTAACATATATAACTAGTTAAAAATTGGTTCTAACAACCAAATTATGTTCCATCTTGGATCATTTCACATTTGAAACTCTACTTTTAAATTGATTATTTCACATATTATGAACTGTATTATAATGGTATCTAACATGCTTATCAATATGATCTATCAGAGTAAAAACTCGAACAGCTGGAATTTCATTATCAAGAGAGTGGTATAGATTGCCTAATACATATATCATAATACCCTCTAAAGTATACTGATCAAAGTTATTAAGTAATATTAATTCATCGTTGGATAGTAAACCATTGTTTTTTATATATTCAATAGCAGAAGGTTTATTATCATCAATAAAGAGTTTTATTAAATTAGGATAATTTTTATATACATCACTTTTATCACTCAGGAATTATAGCATCATCAGGAAGTATTCAATTCAGATAATACTAATATTGGGTTTACTACTTTTTCTATTTAATATAATATTAAGGATCCACTAGTTTGTAAAGCTCTATATTCTCAAACCCACTTATTTTTATTAAACCACATAAAAACAGGACCAAGTCATGATTACGTTCTAAGGTTCAAACAAAAGGGTCTTCATATTTTATACTCACATGCCAAATTTATTTCCAAGACATTATTATAATAATAATTAATTTGACTTGTTGTAATAAATACTACAATATCCCGCGACGGACGATCCGCTATGTCATGAAAAGCGCCCGCTATCCCATCTCCGCTACCGCCCCCATGTTAGCGCGCGGGAGGCCACTGCTCCGCTACGGAGCGCCGCTATAGCGGCCGCTACGGCCGCTTTTGACAACTCTGATCTAAACTGGCAATTGCAATGCCATCTCACAAAGTCCTGGGTCAGTGTCTAAGAGGGTTTTTGTTGCAAAATCTATACATGGATTCATCCAAGAAATATCGAGTGGTATGTCAGAAGGACCTGAATTTTCATTTGCCTCATCAGTATCACAACTTTCAGCAGCAACAGCAGCACATTCTGAATGATAAAGTCTTCTACAGGTGAAAACACATTGCACAATGTGTTAAGAGTATTGGGGATAACAAGGCCCCCGGTATTGATGGTAACAATGCCAAGTTTTTCAAGATCAGATGGTAGGTAATAAAGGATGATGTAAGGGCTACTGTAAGAGAATTATTTGACAATAATAGAATTTATCCTGCCATAAACTGCACATTAGTAACCCTGATCCCTAAGCATAATGATGTCAGGAAGCTTAGAGATATGAGGCCTATTGCTTTATGTAAAACCCTGTAAATGATAATATAAAAAATCCTCACCACTAGGCTCAACAAGGTCATTAGTTATTTGGTGGATTCTAGACAATCTGCTTTTGTCCCTGGCAGAATTATCCATGATAATATCTTAATGGCCCAAGAATTACTTAGAAGATAAAAATGCAAGTATATGTCCCCTAGGTGTGCCATACAAGTGTACCTCCAGAAAGCCTATGATACAGTAGAATGGCCTGCCCTAGAAAGCATTAGGAGAGAAATGAATTTCCTCCATTTATTCATCAACTGGGTTATGACATGTGTCACCACTACCTCTTACCGATACTCCATTCATGGTCAGCATAGTGGTATCCTTAAAGAAAAAAGAAGGATTAGACAAGGAGATCCAATATCCCCCTCCTTTTTATCCTCATAATGGAATACTTACATAGATGTCTAAGAAACTTACAAAGCAACCCCAATTTCAACATCCACCTAAAGTGTGACAAACTCTGCATCACCAACATCTGCTTTGCAGATGATATAATCCTCTTCACAATAGGATATACATTACCTGTGCACCTTATAATATAGGAAGTAAGGAAATTCTCTCATGCTATTGGCCTGAAAGCAAATCCCCTGAAGTGCAAAGTGTTCTTTGGAGGGGTAAGCAACTCTGAACAAGAAAAAATTCTGGATGCTACTGGTTTTTCTGCAAGTACCCTCCCCTTCAAATACTTGGGAGTGCCACTTAATAGCAAGAAACCGGACATAGCTCTTTATCAACCCCTCATTGACATAATTTTCCAAAGAGTCCAACACTGGACTGCTAGCCTACTAAGTTATGCTGGCAGAAAGCAGCTAAATCAGAGTGTCTTGACTATTATGTGTGCCTATTGGATACAGATCTATCCCATGCCCAAAAAAGTCATCACATAAATTAAATATATTTGCATAAGCTACCTTTGTAGTGGCAAGGAAGTGATTATCAAAAAGGGTCCTATTGCTTGGGAAACCATATGTAACTCTAAGAATGCAGGTGGTTTGAACCTCACTGAACTAGTAAGCTGGAACAAGGCCACTATTATGAGACTCCTATGGAACCTTCAAGGCAAAGCAGACAAATTATGGGTAAAGTATATGCACATATATTACTTCAAAGGGCAACAAATATTAAACTGGCAGTTACCCAATAATTGTTCATGGATCTTGAAAAAAATCACGAGCTTTAGAGAGATTGCATGTCAAAGTTGATATTGGAAAGAAGCTGAGCATAAAGGTCACTATAAAACAACTATGATGTACAAGGAAATTAGAGGTGCAAAAATACCTACCCCCTGGAGCAAATTGTTCTTCTCTAATTGTGCTAGACCAAGGGCCAATTTTGTGCTTTAGTTGGCTGTGTGGGATAAATTGGCAATAAAGATCAGACTGGCTAGATTTGGGATAACTACTGATGGAATTTGTCGAAGTAGAAGTGTCTAGACTACAGATAATTAAGCTTAAGACGGGGAAGGAGGGTAACCAATGAAATAAACTCAAAAAGAGTACACTTTTGTTTAAGAAAAACAGCTATGATCTCTTTTCCACTGTGTTAATATGAAGAAGATATTGTTCTCGGGTAAGAGACTGTGCAAGAACAGATAAGAAATCTATGATAAAACAGAAAGGAAAATGTACAGACATTGAAAACACTTCGAAGGATTTACTTTCTGCTTCCCAAACCTCGCAATTCTGTTATCTTTCTCTCTGGACATCTCCCCTCTTCTCCTTTAATCCCATTCCAACTCCCTAAATCTAATTCCTGATCTCCTCTCTTCTCCTTTAATCCCATTCCAACTCCCTAAATCTAATTCCTGTCAAACGGGTAGATTGTTACAAATTACAATCAATGTTGTCAAAATAGCAAGTTTACCTAAGCGCAATCCAGCAAATTTCACACAAATTTCAAATTCCATGCACACTTAGGATAGCAATTTGGTGGATCAGATTAGAATCCCTGAGGAAATTCATAAAACTAGCGGAATCGATGATTTCGACCTAGTAATGGTGGATTAGAGTAAAATCACTAAGGAAATAAAATCAGTGGGATAGGTATTTCGACCTAGTAATTCTTCTGGTCCCCACAATCAATTTCGCACTCTGAGCCAACTTGCTTCACACCCGGATCCAAATAATAAATCTTACACCTCAAACATAAAGCAATATTTTAGCAAATAATTTTCCAAAACTAATTTTCCTCAAGGCTAACAAACACACCTAGTTTATGAACAGTGTCAAGTATATAGGAAAAAAGAAACTCAATGCGTAGCATATCAACATGGTAAACTATAAGCTATTTGAGAATTAGTTAAAGCAGCATAACTTGACTATGGTATCATAAAAGCAGTTTTAAACTGTTGTCGGATTCGCAGATGCAATTGCGTTGTGATATTTGAAATTGCAGGAAAAAATGGTCGATGCAGCCGCAATTGCAGCTGCAGAGATTCCAAAAACCTTGGTGTCGTAGCCACAATTACAGTTATCATCATATAAATATCAGGAACATGGTAGATATAATAGGTGATGAGGCATCGGGGCTTATATCAAAAACATGGTGGATATAATAGGCAATGAGGCCTGCGACTGACAGCAATTTGACAACACTTGTAGACCAAAATCTAAAACTGTGTTTGAAAGGGCAATATACATAAATGGCAAGAGCGGCTTGTATCAGATATAAAATTTCACACTCGGTTACATTTCCATAATCATGGATGGATGTATATCCACTTTAACAAGGTCAAATCACTAGGTTACTTACCGGTTTCTATCAAGCTGTTAGTTCTCGAATATTACAAAATAACCAAAGAACTCTATGCTTTAAAATATGTACACAGACTATATAGCTACACCGGCAAAAAATCACGAACCCTCATTACAGCTACTCAAAATCACGAATATCGTCAACACACAAACAACACAGAGAATCAACGGATAGCAGAAACTGAAAAAAGAAATATTACCGGATACAAATGAAGAGAGGGATGACGACGATGTAGATGAGATGACAAAGGGTTGAGTTCGACGGAGAATGAGATTTGGTTGTTCTTTCTTTTCGGTGTTTCCTCCTTCTGTTTGAGTGTCGTTTGAGAAGTGAATCTGAATCTGAATCGATGGTGAATCCGATGGCTGAAGAATGGATCCGGGTGAAAACCGAAGGAAGGGATGACGGTGGTAAATCAATGACTAACGGCGGTGAATCAATGAAAATCAAAGGAAGCAGAGGAAGATTTGACGGCGGTGAATCAGTTGGGAGAATAGTGTTTTTGTTTTTGGCGGTGAGTGGATGCGGTGAGTGGATGCGGGAAGATAGTGTTTTGTTTTGGCGGTGAGTGGATGCGGTGAGTGGAGGATGCGGGAAGATAGTGTTTTGGCGGTGAGTGGAGGATGCGGGAAGATAGTGTTTTGGCGGTGAGTGGAGGATGCGGGAAGATAGTGTATCTGAAAATGTATTTTGTTTTTTTTTTTATCAATTAATTAATTAATTTATTATTATATATAAGATAGCACTTTTTAATAAATGCTATTATATAGGTAGTCAAATAATAGCGTTTTATACAAAGTGCTATCTTAAAGAAGTTTAATAATAGCGTTTTGGTACAAAGTGCTATCATAATTACATAGTCTGTATTATATAATAGCGCCCGATTAAAAAGTGCTATTATAAATGTGTTTTTTCCATTTTAATAGCATTTTTTTTAAAAGTGCTATTAAATTAGGTGATACAAAAAATCATTTTTGGCGTAGTGTTCAACTTAAGATATTTGTCAACTGTAATTTTCTTTTACGCAATGCGAAGCGTGTTATCAAAGTTAACATGAAAAATTATAAATATGTTTGATGATTTAGGTTATTGTACTAGAATTTAACATGACATGTTTAAAGTATTGCATGATGCATTGATAATCTTTAGATGGTATAAAATGTGTAGTTTATATATTTTGGATGATTTTGTTGTTATTGGTAATGCATCATAAGCTAGTCAATACTTTCAAGATAAAATAAAATTATAGCTTGTGAGATTATGACATGTTAGTGAAAGAAGTTTGGTTGAACTAAGATAAGAAATTTTTTCTAGATAGTGGTAAAATAAATAAACTAGGAATTTTGTGACTATTATGTACTAGACAAACAACATATGAAGTTTGAGAGTGGTAAGCATAATTTTAATAGATCGTTTAAGTATGTTGTTTTAGATCTTTGGGGTTTGACAAGGGTGAAAACCAATGAAGTGGGTTCTATTTTTTTACTATGATTAATGATTTTTCTAGAATACTGTGAGGTCACATTTTGAAACATAAAAATGACACATTTGGAAAGTTTTAAAATGTCATACTCTTGTAAGAAATTAGATGGGAACTAAACTTAAAGTTTTAAGAAGTGACAATGGCATGAATTTTGTTTCTTATCCATTTAATGTATTTTACAGGAAAAAAGATATAATGAGGCGTAATATCTATCTAGCTCACTGCAACAAAATGGACAAATAGAACACACAAATAAAATCACTTTGGAGAGAGTAAGGTAAAAGTAAATTGCAAGCAAATACACAACGAAAGACAAAAAATATTCATTTGGTGAATTCTTACGAACGAACATAATCAGTGATAAAATAATTACCACTTGTGATAATTAATCCTTAATGTCGAATCCATAGAGCATTCACGAGCATTACATGAATAACAACACCTCTTCTTAGTCAATATGATCATAATGCTTTCAATCCCAATGTTAGCTAGTTCGAATGAAGACTTTAGGAAAGAGAGAAAGTGTGAATCTATGTTTCATAAGTGTTAGGGTTTCACAAACCATATTTTGGTCAATATTAAAATACTTCAACCCAAGTGTTCTATTTATAGAACTACTTCTGTGGATTGCAAGTTGAACAAGTCCATTTAAGTATAATGTACCACATTTCACTTAAGTACGTTGTATTTTACGAAGCTCTATATTTCACTTAAGTACATTATACTTTACGATGTTATGTATTGTACTTAAGTACACCACATCTTACGATGTTCTGTATTACACTTAGGTATATTATACTTTATAATGTACCACATTCATCTAATGCATCACAATATCACATAATTAAATAAGCTTCATTTATTTATTTTATCTGTCATAAATATTTTCTTATGTGTGTGAGCCTTTTAGTTCTTATAACATTAGAAATTACATAAAATCACACATTTAATATCATTAACAATGAATGGAATCTAGCAACACATCATTGCTACCAAAGTAACAAAAATGTCAAGTGATCTGAAAAAACCTTTATGTGTACAATTACCTTTTTCCCTCGTGTAAATATTAAACACAAGACATAAATAGTGTCACTCTTATCAAATTTAATATTGTGCCCTTAGATATTTATCATGTTACACGTGATGGAAAAATTCCATGTAGTATTCTCACGGCGAGTCAATCATGTATAAACATGACTCCTAATATTTATACTTATGTGTAGAGTTGATAACTCTTTATCTATGATTTGAGATATGTGATCATCAATTTATCTATATAATAGTCTCAATGATATAATGTTATCCCTCTTCACAATAAAACTTGACTTCAAATACTTTAAGAATAGTGTCCTTATGTTTAATGTGGTCTTGCAATTAAGTCATACTTAATTTTTCATTAAAATGTACTTGTTATTCTAGGACTTTAGTACTTTGAAAAAAAACATAATAAAGAAATGTTTTATTATTATTATTAATACATAATTCACTATAAGTACCAAGATTTAGTAAAACTATGGGCATCTAGGGATTACACCAACAATATCCCACTAGCACTTGAAACAATCAGGCATACTCCTAATATTCATAGATCTAGAATGATCATCATGTTTTTACAACACAATAGGATTTGTCAGTAGGTCTACGATATTTTCAAATGTTGGTACTATGCATATCTCCATATCTTATGTATCTATCATCTCTCAAATGAGGTGATATTTCCTAAGTATGTATTCAGATTGTTGGTGAAATATAGACTCCTTAACTTGTGCGATGAAATTATTGTTATCACAATAGAGATCAATGGAATCCACAATTTTATGGACTATGCCAAGTTCATTTATGAACTTCTTGATCAAACAACTTCCTTTGCTGCATTTGAAGAAACAATATACTCTGCCTCGGTTGTAGAACCAACAAGAGTATCATGTTTTGAACTTTTCCATCTTATTCTAGAACCATTTAAGAAAAACTCATAACCAGATTGTGATCTAAAGTCATCTTTTGTCTATAATTTAGCTTCGGTGTATCCTATTACAACGAGATCTTACTGACCTCCATATACGAAAATTGAGTCCTTAGTTCTTCTTAAGTACTTAAGGATATTCTTGACAAAAACCTTATAAGTATCACCAGATCACACTGGTATTTACTCGTTGAAATTAAAGCATATGAGACATTTGATTGAGTACATAACATGACATACATGATATATCCTATTTTAGACGCACATGAGATCTTATTCATGTAATCTCTTTCTTCCTTGTTGAAGGGGATTATGTTTTTGATAGACATAAGCCATATTGCATAGATAAGAATCCTTTCTTGAAATCATGCATATTAATCTGTCTCAACACTTTGTCTATGTATGTACTATGACTTAGACCAAATATTTTTTTTTGATCCATCTCTATAGATCATGATTGGCAATATATAGGATGTTTCTCCAAATTCTTTCATAGAAATTTTTTTTCCTAGCTAGTTTTTTACTTGTTGTAAGGTAAGGACACTATTTCTAATAAATAATATGTCATCTACATATAATCCT